GTTGGTTAAGCGTCTACCTTTGACTCAGGTCATGATCCCAGGGTCCTCAGCAGGGACCCTGCTTCTCCCTCTCTCTCTCCCTCTGTTTGTGCTCTCTCTCTCTCTCTCTCTCTCTGTGTCAAAGAAATGAATAAAAGTCTTAAAATTTGGGGCGCCTGGGTGGCTCAGTGGGTTAAAGCCTCTGCCTCCGGCTCAGGTCATGATCCCAGGATCCTGGGATCAAGCCCCGCATCGGGCTCTCTGCTCAGCAGGGAGCCTGCTTCCTCCTCTCTCTCTGCCCGCCTCTCTGCCCGCCTCTCTGCCTACTTGTGATCTCTGTCTGTCAAATAAATAAATAAAATCTTTAAAAAAAAAAAAAAAGTCTTAAAATTTAAAAAAAAAATAAGTCCGAGAAAGACAAATGCCATATGATTTTACTCATATGTGGAATTTAAGAAAACAGATGAACACGGGGGAGGCGGAAAAATAAAATAAGATGAAAACAGAGGGGGGCAATCCATAAGAAATTCTTAACTACAGAAAACAAACTGAGGGTTGCTGGAGGGGGGGATGGATGGGTAATGGGCTAAATGGGTGATGGGCATTAAGGAGGGCATGTGTAGTGATGAGCACTGGGTATTATATATATGTGACGAATACATAAATTTCTACTCCTGAAACCGAAATATAATACTAATAATAATCTACTTGGGCATTGGCTGGCTCAGTCAGTAGAGCATGCAACTCTTGGTCTCAGGGTTGTATGTTTGAACCTCACATTAGGTGTATAGATTACTAAAAATAAGTAAATAAATAAATTTTTAAAAATCTAACTTGCTTAACACTCAGTAGGCCTTCTCAAATGGGAAACTTACATCTTTTAATTTGAGATGTTTTCTTGAACTTTTTTTTTTCATTTCCTCACCTTTATTTTCTCTTTTTGTCTGTAACTACTTCTGTTATTTGGATATTAGTTCCTAAGTTACTATGCTGCAGGCTTAGAGGAGAGTCTATATCAGGAATAAGAAAATAGAGGGTTCCAGAGGGATGTCTCTAACAACATAGTAGAATTGTTAGATTATTTTATGTGACTGAACATACTAAATGGAGATTGAGTCTCTAATTTTACTATTTTTTTCTCTCATTATTTTGTTGTTTTTGTTTTTTTGTCTTTTATCTTCTAGGTTTCTCAGTTTTATCTTTTAACCATCTTATTAATCTTTTAATAAAGATTTTATTTATTTAAGAGAGAATGAGATGGGGCATCTGAGTTGCTCATTTGGTTAGGCCACTGGCTTCGGCTCAGGTCATGACCCCAGAGTCCCAGGATTGAGTACTGCATCAGGCTCCCAGCTCCGCAGGGAATCTGCTTCTCCCTCTGACCTTTTCCCCTCTCATGCTCTCTTTCACTCTCTCTCGCTCAAATAAATAAATAAAATCTTAAAAAAAAAATAGAGAGAGAGAGAAAATGATGGATAGAGCATGAGCAGGAGCAGGAGGGACAGAGGGAGAGGGAGAAGCAGATTCCCCATTGAGCAGGGAGCCCAACGTGGGGCTAAATCCCAGAACCCCAGGATCACAACCTGAACCAAAGCAGACACTCCAGGCGCCCCATCCACCATTTTGTTAATTTTCAATAAATTTTCTTGTCATCCTATTTTTAATTTCCAAGAGCCCATTTTTGTTGTTGTTGCATCCTGCTCTTCATAGATGCAGGATCTTCTCACTTTGAGAACATCAATTGGAAAGTTTTTTCTCTTTAAGTTTTTTTGTGACCTGTGCCTTTTTTGTATTCCCTTCAGGTTTTTCTTCTGTTTGCTTTGTTCTTTGCCCTTTATGTAAGATGCTTTTCTTACATATCTAATGTTTCTTAGCTACCCAATCCTATTTAAGAATAATACTTAAGAGCTAAAAGGAAGCTCTGTGTGTGTGTGTGCGTGTGTGTGTGTGTGTGTGTGTGTGTGTTTGAGAGAGAGAGAGAGAGCTTGTTAATTAGTCAATTTAACTGAGGATGATCTGGCTGGGCTTTTCTTCAGTGGAGAGCCCAAACTACAGTATGTGCTATGTTTTTCCCCACGGCCTGATTTCCAGAGATGAATCCTCCAGTCTCTTGTCTCTGAGTTATAAACTTGTCACAGTCTTCTTAGAATCAAGTGGAGAAAGAGGGTTGGGTTGGGAGGTATCCATTTGTTCAATATATATATCTTCCCTAATCCCTCAGTTTTTAGGAAGGACACCCCACTCTTGACTGTGCATAATATTTCCAATCCAGAGCCTGTCTGAATCAACCTTCCCAGTGAGTAAAACTCTGGTCTTCATCCAGGCGAGGGAAGGAGCAGGCACTCTGATACTCTGAACAGAGGAGGAATTCTGCAAGCCTGAGAACTTTGACAAATTTCTAACCAGTTTTACTAAATTCAGCTCCACTTTCAGCAGGGTTCTGCAGCCTGAATCAGTTGTGCTTCTGGGTTTTCCTAACTGCTGGTGGAGGTTTCAACTTTGTTTTTCTAAGTCAGCTATCACTCATCCACAGACTTTACAGATTCTAAAATTCTGTGGCTGTTCTGTTTTATCTCTCCCATTCCTTGTAACTGTGTGAGTTTATGCCTATTTTTATCCCTTTATTTTCATTTTAGTGAGGTTTCAGAAGGAAGTAGTGGTTAGGTATCTTTTTTTTTTTAATAAACATTGTGTTCCTTTTATTTTCATTTTATAAACATTTATTGAGTACCAAGTTTGTGCCAGACACTGGGAATACAAAAATAAGTACAATGTCCCTGTCCTCAAAGAGTGAACACTCTAGAGAAGGAAATAAACATGTAAACACATTTTTAAAAATCCCTTATGCTAATTAAGTGCTAGTAATTATGTGTACATGTCTTTTTTTTATAATTTTTTTATATTTTATAAACATATAATGTATTATTAGCCCCAGGGGTACAGGTCTGGGAATCACCAGGTTTACACACTTCACAGCACTCACCATAGCACATACCCTCCCCAATGTTCATAACCCCACCACCCTCTCCCTCCCCCACTCCCCCCAACCCCCCTCAGTTTCTTTTGTGACATTAGGAGTCTCTTTTGGTTTGTCTCCCTCCCGATCCCATCTTATTTCATTTATTCTTTTCTTACCCCCCTAACCTCCCCCCGCTGTTGCATCTCCACTTCCTCATATCAGGGAGATCATATGATAGTTGTCTTTCTCTGATTGACTTATTTCGCTAAGCATAATACCCTCTAGTTCCATCCATGTCATCGCAAATGGCAAGATTTCATTTCTTTTGATGGCTGCATAGTATTCCTGTGTGTGTGTCTGTGTGTCTGTGTGTGTGTGTGTGTGTACACATTTTTATCCATTCATCTGTTGATGGACATCTAGGTTCTTTCCATAGTTTGGCTATTGTGGCCATTGCTGCTATAAGTGGTTAGGTATCTTTAACCAGAATTAATTCATGTTTATTCTTCAGGCTCATATGTCATATCCTTTCTATAGCTTCTTCTGACCCCATATGCAGAAATCATTGCTTCATCATGTATTGTCATAGGATTTTATGTATGTCTGTGATAACATTTGCCATGCTTTTATTATTATTTGGGTGACTCCTAACTATAATTCTCTTGAGAGTTGTCATAATATAATACTATTTTATTACATAGTATAGTTTATATTTCATGGTAGATTTTTAAAACTGAGTCAATAGAAATGAATTTCACCATTTTCAAGTAGTATCTGATATTTCAAGTAGTATCTGATAGTGGGGCTAAAAATATCCTTTAAAACATTCCTATTTGAGCTTAACAGGCCTTGAAATAGTTTTTGAAAGTACCTCTGTCCAAAGATGTAGCTTCATCCCAAAGGATTTTAAACTTAAGATATTCTGCAGCCAGGTTTTTTGCAGATTTGAGATTGAGAATACATCTGGCTCAGTCACATAGCCAACCTTGAAAAAAGGCAGCTTTGCTTTAAAAGAAAGGTGAGATAGTAAGAGAAACAGTAGCTACTGGTCATATGGAAAATGTGATATTCAGCTATAGTGACAGAGAAGATCGAAGAATGTGATAGTTTTAAGGCATCATAGTTGATCAGCAGTATCAAAATCCAAGTTGAAATAAATTTTCTTGGAAAAAGGAAATATTAAAATTCTGCTATGTGCCAGGTAATATGCTAGGCCTTTTACAAATGTTATTTCATTTAATTGTCACACTATCGCTACAGAGTAGTTTTTCTATGCTGTCAGTTTTACAGTTGAGGGATTTGAAGTTCAAAAAATCCAAGGTCAACTAATCAAAAATTGATGGTTTTTGAGCACCTCCTTTATGACCTTTGCCTTCTGCTAAGTGTCCTTCCTATATGCTGCTGTTGTACCCTGAACATACCTTCTTTTTTAAAAGATTTTATTTATTTATTTGACGGAGAGAGAGAGTGAGCAAGAAAGAGAGCACAAGCCAGGGTAGGAGAGGCAGAGGGAGAAGCAGACTCCCCCGCTGAGCAGGGAGCCCAATGTGGGACTCAATCCTGGGACTCCAGGATCATGACGTGAGCCAAAGGCAGACACTTAACCCACTGAGCCACCCAGGCACCCCACCATGAACATATCTTTATCTTAACACTCATCTTATTCAATTGACTTTATGTTTATTAATCTATCTCCCCCATTGGGCAGCCCCTCAGGGGTTGGAACAGTGTCTATTCTCCAGTAGGAGAATAGGCCTTGAACATAGAAAGCTCTTAATAAATAGTATGTTGGACTACAAATCTGAGCTCAGAATTCAAGTCCAAATCTGTTTTGTTCATCATTACAGGCACACATCCAGATATCCAGATAATCACTGCTTTAAGGAAAAATAAGCCATTTCTGAAAACTTTAGCAGATTTGATTTTTTTATATTGAGAAAAGCTGATGTTTTGGAAACTCCTCCTACCAACCAGAAATGGAAGAAAAGAGTAGCCTGAAAAATTAAAGCTGACACATACATCAGAGGAAAGATATCAAGATTGTTGGTTGCTTTATTTCCAGGGGCCTTATGGGTATGCATCATTTTAAATCCACATTGCAAACTGGAGGAAAAGTCCTGTTGGCTACAGCAGCTGCAGAAGTGGAGTGACCTGGATGTCTGTCCCCTGGAGGATGGGAACTATGGGCATGAGCTGCCCAACATCACCAATGCACTTCCCCAGAATGCCAGTCACAGCCCAGGTGAGCCATATATCCTTCTGGGGTCTCTGTGCCAGAACTCCAAAAGGTAGGAGGGTAAAGCTCTAGAACAAAGGTGGCCAGACAGTTGGCTATCAGTATTGCCATTCTCAGTAAGAAAAGCCTGTCCTTTTGTTTATCTTGAATAAGGGTAAGCCTTAAATAAGGGTAAGCTTTTTACCTTTGACATTTTGGGGGTGCTGTGTCTTTTTCCATATCTGAGTGTTCTTATAGTGCCCACCATAAATTCCTAGAGCCTCCTGCATGAATCCTCTTTGCCTTTCAAATTCTGCATGACTAATGGATCTTGTCCTCAGTTGGGGTTGGTTTTAGCTTAGAAGGCCTACCTCAAGGGAAGGATGGAAGGCCTGCAAAAAACAGTATTTATTTATTTTTAAAAACAGCTTTTAAATGCCCTGGCAATTGCTTTTCTTACTTTTCTCTGTTTTCCTCAAATTTTTTTTTATACAGCAGATACCTAGGTTGGATTATCTTCCCAAATTACTGCTAGGACCCTTGCCCCTTTTTAAGACAAATCTAGTACAGTGATACTTTACACTCTGTCTTTTGAGCCCCTGGCCTGCAGGTAACACTGAGCATCACTCAGTGTTAAAACGTCAGTTTTAATTCATCTAACTCAGGCTGTTTGCTATTGGCAACTGATTGCTCTTTAGCCCATTGGGAACCTTTACTGGTAGGAGATTTTTTGTCAGATATTGATTTTACATGTGGTCCTTCTAGTTTAAGTGATAAATCTGGGATTTTTAATCTCAAGGAGAAAATCACTTAAATTATTGTTCCGGCCAGGTCTTTGTCTACTGTACCATAACTGATTGTCAGTATATCTAAAGCAACAAAAGTAACAGTAGTTTGAAAAGTTATAGTTTTACCACTTCTTTAAGCTACACTTTACTGGCATTCCTCTAATCTCCACAACACATCATCCCTTTAGTATTGGTTTGGGATTGGCATAGAGAGTCAAAAGCATATAAAGACATGCCTCTAGTCCGGTAGTTTCTTCCTTATCATACTGGTTACTTGTTATTACTGGTTCTCATTTGAGGATGTTGTTTCTTCTGCAACATCTTGCTTCAAGTTGTGGCTTATTTAGCTCTCACGTCTCTATACCTAATGGAGCAATGGGGGTCCCACTTATTCTTCATTGCCATTTCTATATCATTATCCTTTCCTCCTTCCAAAACACCTCCCAGCTTTAAAGTTCATGCTGTCAAAATATACTATCTGCTACCCTTCTGGTTTTGATATTTGTAGATCTCTGTGTCAATCCCCCTCTTTCCTTGAAGATTTTGGCTATTGGCTCAATGATACTGCTTTCTGTTACTGCTTCTATCATAATTCTTGATAATTTCAGTAGCCACGCAGATGATCCTTCCAAAACCTAGCCTCTCAGTTCTTTGACTTCCTCTCTTTTAATAGTCTCATCTTCCCACATAATTGAGCTGTACAATCACAAGATCATACCCTAAACCTTGTCATTGCCAATAACTATACCTTCTTCATGATCTCAATTTCAGGCAGCTGTCAATACCATCAATAGTCTTGCTGACCTATTTTCTCTAGTATCCCGGTTCCAATAATTCTTTGATCCGCTAGGACTTTTGATCCTACCACTTTTCATTCTCCTGGTAGCCTTGTTTTCCTCCTGATTTCTTGGTGAATCATTATAATCATTCCCTCACATACACGCTCAAACTTCTCTTTCCCTTCATTTCACACAGATAGCAAAACACTAAACTTACTAGTTCAGTGTCACTCTCTAATTCCTCAGTGCACGCCCACACTGCTGAACATGATGAAAAGAAACGTAAGCATGGTAACTGGTCTTATTTTAAGTTTATGACCACTGATTTTAAATGGGTCCATAGTGTTGTCCAGACATTTCCTTAATCTGCATTCTTTCACTCTTCTAAATTACTATTTCATGCATCTTTCCCTGAAAACTTTATTTCCTCCCCTTCCTCACTTTCAGCTAATAACCTTGCTTCCTATTCACTGAGAATATAGAAGCAATCACAAGAGAATTTCCATGACTCTCTCATTACATCTTCTTCTGTCTGTGCCCATCCAGTCTTCCTCTCCCCGTTTTTGGGTTTGTTTGTTTTTTTTTAAGATTTATTTATTTATTTATTTCACAGACAGAGATCACAAGTAGGCAGAGAGGCAGGCAGAGAGAGGGGGAGAAGCAGGCTCCCCATCAAGCAGAGAGCCTGATGCGGGGCTTGACCCCAGGACACTGGGATCATGACCTGAGCCAAAGGCAGAGGCTTTAACCCACTGAAACACCCAGGCGCCCCTTCCTCTCCCCATTTTTACTTGTGCTTCTAAGCCCAAGCCCTCTACCTGTTCTCAAGATCCTATTCCTTCTCTTTTATCCAGGATAGAACTCCAGGAATTATCTTTTCTCTCCCCTGTTTTACAAATTTGTTTGGATTATTCCTATGAGTATATAAGTACATTGCTTTCTCTCTCATCACAAAACAAAACACAGTCATGTTGTTCCCATATGCCTCTCTGGCTACTACCCTATTTCCCTGAGGTAGTAGAAATAAGTGGTAGAATTAAGAAAAATAATTTAAAAGAATAGTACATATTTATCATCTCTACTTCTGCTCATATTCTCCACTCTAGTCAGCTTTCATCTCTCTGCTATTGAAACTGCTCTTGTATGGGTCACTGATGCTAAACATGGTCAAATGTAGTGGCTCATTAGCACTACTTGTTAGAATTGTTTACTTTCTTCTTGAAACACCTTTTTCATCTTATTTCCAAGACACTGCTCTCTTGGTTCTGCTCTTACTTTCTTCATTGGTTCCTCCTTCTCAGCCTCCTTTACTGTCCCTGCCCTTCTTCCTAAGAGAAAATGTTAGAGTGCCTAGGGTTCTTGTCTTCAAACCACTTCTCTCTATATACAAACTCCCTTTGTGATTGCATTGTTTTGATAATCATCTGTATACTAACTACTCCCAAATTTATATTGTCTTGACCAGACTTTAAATCCCAACTCCAGACTTATATGCTCAACTCCCTTTTCAATATTTCCACTTAGATTTCTTATCTATCAAGCCCCACCTAAACTTGCTCCTCCTACAGTCTTCCCTATCTCCACGTATGGCAAGTCTGTCTTAAAAACCTTGGAGTCTGGGGCACCTGGGTGGCTCAGTGGGTTAAAGCCTCTGCCTTCAGCTCAGGTCATGATCTCAGGGTCTTGGGATCGAGCCTGCATCAGGCTCTCTGCTCAGTGGGGAACCTGCCTCCTCCTCTCTCTCTGCCTGCCTCTCTGACTGCTTGTGATCTCTGTCAAATAAATAAATAAAATCTTTAAAAGGAAAAAAAAGCAAAAACCATGGGGTCATTCTTGATTCTTTTTCTTCCTCACTTGAGATCCAAACCATGAGCAAATCCTATTGGCTTTACCTTCAGAATATATCCAGAATCCGTATATTTTTTTCTTTTTTTCTGATTTTTATTTAAATTCTACTTAGCTAACATACAGTGCAATATTGGTTTCAGGAATAGAATTCAGTGATTCATCACTTACATACAACATCCAGTGCTCATCCTAACAAGTGCCCTCCTTAATACCCATCACCCTTCTGGCCCATCCCCTACCCACATCCCTCGATTACCCCTCAGTTTGTTCTCTATATTTAAAAGTCTGTTATGGTTTGTTTCCCTCTCTCTTTTTTTGTTTTCCCCCTCCTCCCATATGTTCATTTGTTTTGTTTCTTAAATTCCATATATAACTGAAATCATATGGTATTTGTCTTTCTCTAACTGACTTATTTCACTTAGCATAATACCCTCTAGTTCCATCCATATCATTGCCAACAGCAACATTTCATTCTTTTTGATGGCTGTGTGTGTGTGTACACATCTTTATCCATTCATCAGTCAATGGACATTTGTGCTCTCTCCATAGTTTGGCTGTTGTTGATAGTGCTGCTATATCTAAGCATCAGGGTGCATGTTCCCCTTTGTTACCTGTATTTTAGTATCCTTTGGGTAAATACCGAGTAGTGCAATTGCTGGGACATAGGGTAGCTCTATTTTTAACTTTTTGAGGAACCTCCAAACGGTTCTCCAGAGTGGCTGTACCAATTTGCATTCCCACCAACAGTGCAAGAGGATTCCCCTTTCCCTGCATCCTCGCCAACACCTACTGTTTCTTGTGTTATTACTTTTAGCTATTTTGACAAGTGTGAGATGGTATCTGACTGTGGTTTTGATTTGTATTTCTCTGATGATGAGTGACATTGAGCATTTTTTCATGTGCCTATTAGCCATCTGGATATCTTCTTTGGAAAATTGTCTGTTCATGTCTTCTGTCCATCAGAATCCATATATTCTTATGACCTCTACTGCTTATTACTCTGGCCAAATTGCCATCATTTTCACAAATTATTGCAGTGACCTCCTAACTGCCGATCCTGCTTTTGTCCTTCAACCTCATGGTCTAGTCTCAATACTGTTGCCAGTTAACCTTTTAAAAAGCAGGTTGCATCATACACCTTTAACAGCTCAAAGCCCTCCAGTGGCTTCTCATCTTTTACTCATGGCCTGTAAGGTCCTCAATGATCTGGCTTTCTAGAATCTCTCTGACCTTATCTCCTATCATTTTCCTGCTTGCTCATTCCACTCTCAGTACACTGACCTCCGTGCTACCTTCCAACACTCCAAATATGTACTCACCTTAGGATTTTAGCATTTGCTATTCCTTTTTGCCTAGAATGCTCTTCCCTTAGTTATCTTAGTTATCAGGCTTAAAGTCTCTGTTCAAATGTTACCTTATTAGATACCATTCTATATAAAACAATAACCACCACCCAACACCAGCTTGCCTTTCTCCCTAATTTTGCTTTAGTCTTTTCTAAAGCACTCAAAACCATCTCATATATCTGATATACTGTATATTTATTGAACTATCTCTGCCCATTTACATGTAAAGTTCCATGAAGGCAGCGACTTTATATATCCTCAGCACTTAGAACAAGTAGGTGCTCATTATTTACAGACTTGTTGAATATTGGGAGCCTAATCCCTACTGTGGGCTAAGACCCAAGGTAGAATCTCAGTTCAGCAAGAGAGGGGTTTAGACTGCAGCCAGTAGGAGGTACATTGTGCTTCTACTGAGGGACAACTTGAGGGAGAAGACATTTCAGTAGATATTGTCATGCTATTCTTATTAACTCTCTAAACCCACACTCTATGGAATATATCAAATTCTGAAGAGATGAACATATTCTAAGGACTTTTGCCTAATGAATGAATATGTTCATTTCTTCATTTCTTTCATGTTCATTTTGAATCCTCTGGCTTTCCCTCCCAGTTTTTTTGCACAGACTCAGTGGATGTATAGCTCATTTGGGCATCTCTGGAAACATCTGTATAGTATTTTAGTACTTGATCCCAGACCACTTGTCCTTAATCTGGCAGAGAGTAAATTAAATAATCCTTTATGGTTGATTGGTTGGTTTGTTTGTTAGTTTTTAATTTCTTGAAATGTAGTTTCCATGAGGCCTTCTGTCTCCAGAGTTTATGATGACATATCTTTCATTTGATCTTCCTCCATACCACCCTTAAAAATTGAGCCTATTTTGTCTAAACTGTTTTGGTTTCCTTGCAGAGTTTTTCCTGAAGAGAGATGGCATGGTAAGAGTCCATGTTAATTTAATTAGTCTTTTGTCAGCATCAGTTTTTCATATTCAAGAATAAGACTGTAAGCCTATAGATATCAGTGTGATAAAGGGACCAGAATACATAGGACTTGCGCCCTTTTTCAGCTTTTAATAAAAATTACATGAAGTCTTTAGTCTGATAAGGGTCAGGTTGTAAATGAGACAGGTTATGGATTGGCCAGGGGAATTATCTAGCTGCTTCTCTCTTCCTCTGACTTCTATAGAAGCGGTTGGTATCCTCATAATTGAGCAGCTAAGCACCACTGTCTCTCTTCTTTTTCATGTGGCCCCCAGTCCTAGGAGAAATTGGTCTTCTGTAGACTGGAAAGGCAGCCATAGGTCTCTGTAGAAAGGATCTTGCCATAGAGGGCACAGCCACATTAAGGGCTAGCCGATAAAGAGGCAGCACAACAAGCACCCAGACAGATGGCAGAGTGGCTGCTCTCACGAACCACATACTACTCTTCTCATCCTCCCACTCTGAAGAAGACATAAGCGTTAGAGCTTCAGATTACCTGTCACTGAACTGCTGCATGTCTTTCTTTCCCCAGACTCCTTATCCAGACCACGACGAACAGTGTTCACTAGAGCCATCGAGGGCCGTGAATTACATTGGCAGGACAGCCACTTACAGCGAATAATAAGCAGCGATATATATACAGCTCCTGCCTGCCAGCAGGAAAGTGAGAAACTACTGTTTAATTCCCAAGGCCAGCCACTGTGGCTTGGTAAGTGTACCTCTCGTCTCCTCTAAGAATTTCAGAGCTCAGTCTTACCTTGTGCCAGGCCAGAACTACATTGGTGCTGGCAACACAACTCTAATTTGGACAGATCTTTGGGGCCTTAACTAGGGACTCGGGGTATTTATGTGAAGCCTCAGCTACTTCCATGTGTACTTAGCTGAAGTATAATGACCTCAAACAGAGGAATTTGTATTGTTTCCTGAGTTTTAGGAGGGGAAAGGAGTTAATAAATCTCAAAGAGTACTCATAAAACCATTAAACATCAGTTCATAGGCTCTTAGTCTACAGTTGCAGAGCAAATGTTATAATCCACTCTGAAATTAATATATTTTGCAAAAAGGCACTAATTCTGAAACTTAAATTACCCGGTGCTAGGAGCTAGAGCACTATCTGCATTTGTCACCAAGCTGTCTTCCTTTCCTCCTCTCCACCTTCCCTTCCTTCCTTCATTATAAAGGAACAGAGCTGTTCCATTGTGGGTTTAAAGATTCCTCTGGCTATATGTCAATCTCTTCTTTGCTTTATCACAGGATGCCCATTCCAAAACAGACACTTAAAAAATACTCATTTTCTGAGTCTTACAACAATGACATACATTTTTATATCTTCTCCCAATTCCTTACCTTCATCATTCACTACATTTCTTTGTCTTTCTCAAGATCTTGCTGAATATGCAGGGACACCCCGGTGACTCAGTTGGTTAAGTGTCTGTCTTCGGTTCAAGTCATGATCCTGGGGTCCTGGGATTGAGCCCCGCATCAGGCTCCCTGCTCAGTAAGGAGACTGCTTCTCCCTCTTCTGCACTCCCTGCTTGTGTTCTTGTGGCCCCTCTCTCTGTATCAAATAAATATAACAAAATCTTAAAAAAAAAAAAAAATCTTGCTGAATATGCATATGTCCCTATCTCTCTTAAAAGCCTTGCCCAAACTCACTGTGGGCCACTACCTGAAGTCTCCTTTGGTCACCTTTCCTCTTCTCAGATCTAACACATCCAAAACATAAATCTAACAAGTGTGTGAAATCATATGCACCTCGTCAGTAAACAAAGGTGAAAATGTGAAAATCAAAACAACACTGAATTGGGGCGCCTGGGTGGATCAATGGGTTAAACCTCTGTCTTCGGCTCAGGTCATGATCTCAGAGCCCTGGGATCGAGCCCCACATCAGGCTGTCTGCTCAGCAGGGAGCCGGCCTCCCTCTCTCTCTGCCTGACTCTTTGCCTACTTATGATCTCTCTTCCTGTGTCAAATAAATAAATAAAATCTTTAAAAAACAACAACACTGAATTACCATTTTTTGATTGTCAAATGGTCAGAGATTTTTGAAGTAAAGATAATTAGTTTATGGTGTGGGAAAAGTTTACATGGAGATAGTTATTCTCATTTACTTCTAGTAGGAATGTAAGTGCTTATACCCTGTCTGAAGGGTATTTCAATAATGCTTATCAAAAGCTGTTAAAATACATTCATATCATTTGACCCAGGAATTCTACATCTAGAAATTAATCCTGAGCTATAATTAACTAAGAATATGTGTAAAGCTAGGGGCTTTATTAGAGCATGGATGTAAATAATGTACAGATGAGAAAAATTGGAAATAATCTTAATGTCCAACAGTAGGAGACTGATTGACTCAGTGGATTATATCCATATTTTCAGAGGAATGGTATATCTGCATTTTTAATGTTATAGAAGTATATTTAATGATATAAAAAAAACTTTATAATACATTATTCAGAGAAAAAACCCAGTTACAAAACAATAATTATAGTATTATCCCATGAGGGCACCTGGTGGCTCAGTTTGTTAAGAGTCTCAAGGTCGTAAGATAGGGCCCCACGTTGGGCTCTTTCCAACATGGAGGGGAGTCTGCTTCTCTCCATTTCTCTCTTTCTCTCTCTCTCCCTCTCCTTCTGCCTGCCCCTCCCCCTGCTCATGTTCTCTCTTTAAAATAAATAAATCTTTAAAAAATAATAATAAGGGATGCCTGGGTGGCTCAGTCGGTTAAGCGGCTGCCTTCGGCTCAGGTCATGATCTCAGAGTCCTGGGATTGAGCCCTGCATCAGGCTCTCTGCTCAGCGGGGAGCCTGCTTCTCTCTCTGCCTTTGCTTGCTTGTGCTCTCTCTCTCTGACAAATAAGTAAATAACATCTTATAAAAAATAATGATCATATCATTCCATGTATATATATACACAATCAGGATATATATACACACACATACTTAATGCATACATACACACAATACTGGAAATAATGGTTATCTCTGATTTTTATTTTATATTTTGCTTATCTGTATTTTCAAATTTTCTGCAGTTATTTCTGACTTTTAATGTTATCTTTAAAATAAATCACAAAATGGGGGCACCTGCTTTGCTCAGTTGGTTGTGTCTAACTCTTGATCTCAGCTCAGGTCTTGATCTCAGGGTCATGAGTTTGAGCTCTGCATTGAGCTCTACACTGGGCATGGAGCCTATTTAAATTTTTAAAAAATCGCACAATGAACCATTAATCTCATTATAATCACTTGCCCATTTTTAAGCTTTTGAGGCCCTCCATTATCCTTAAGTTAAATCCAATCTCCTTAGTATGGCATACCAGTCTCTACATTTCTAGGCAGTCTCTGGTGACATAACTTAACTCTGCACAGAACTATTTGTTATACTCAAAAGATGCTTTATAGAATACTTCTTATGTTTTATTTATATGCCGTTGCTTATATGTTCTTTTTTGCTGGAAATGCCTTTTCCTGTTTGTCTACCTAATTAAAATCTTGCTAGTTCTACAAAGTGCAGCTCAAATATTATTTTCTCTCTGTACATATTACTATCATGTTGTTTACTTTTAACTGTTTTATAATGATCTGTTTATGTATCATTTGTGAGGTCTTTGAGGCAAGTGGCCATTTCTTATTTACGTTTGTACTTCCTTTGCCTGGCAAGCAAACTGGCATAAAATAGGTTCTCAGGAATGTAGGATTAATAAATGAATGAGGCCCTTCTCTTTAGGCAGTTAGCTGCTACCTCCACTGAGTTCTCATAGTACAAGGTCACAAAGAGGTACTACATTTTATTATCCTAGTTGTGTGTTCCTTTCTACACCATACCACTCTACAGAGGCCGCATGGTGGCTCTTTGAAGGTAGTGCCTGTGACTTATTCAACTGTGTATTCTTAAAAGATAAAACATGGGTCTTGGTACACAGTAGATATCAGCTGAATTTTAGGAACTGAGCAAAACACAAACCCCCTTTGTCAAACATGAATCTTCCTCATTGGGAAATCTAACCCAACCAAAATATTTTCTTCTCATCTGGTAGAGCATGTGCCTACAGCCTGTGCTCGGGTCGATGCTCTGCGCTCCCATGGTTATCCAAAAGAGGCCCTCAGACTCACAGTGGCCATTATCAATACTCTGAGGTTGCAGCAGCAACGGCAGCTGGAAATCTACAAGCATCAGAAGAAAGGTATAGTGATAAGGAGCCATCTTAACTTCTCAGGCTGGGGCTGATGAGGATCTTCAGGGGCTATAAGTTTCATGGACTGGCAGGAGCTAGGGAATTTCAGGGTTTTCTACCTGCTGTGTGGAATACCTCGCTTTACCTCTATAAATCTCAGGGTTTTTTTAATCTACAAAATGGGAATAATAATGCTGGTCTGCATCCCTCACAGGCATTTGGAAGGCCCAGTAAGATCTGGTATAAGACCCTCTTTAAACTGTAAAACTATATTTACGTTATGTGTGCTGTGACCAAGAAGTCTAAATGCAGACTACAAGACCTTATAGCTAATAAACTTGTGACCACCCAAGGCAAGACAATGGGGGAAGATTTTTTTAAGTTGCTAATGAGAAGACTCAGACAGGGACAGAGAGCAATGTGTCCCTATCAATTTCTAAAATTTGGATCTGTTGTTTCCAGAACTGTTACAGAGAGGAACCACAACCATCACAAACCTGGAAGGCTGGGTGGGCCACCCCCTGGATCCCATTGGCTGCCTGTTTCTCACTTTGACTGAGGCCTGTCGTCTGAATGATGATGGCTATCTGGAAGTGTCAGGTACAGGGGTCAGCCTGAGAAGAGCTAGAACTGTCCTTGGTAGCTCTCCCTTCCCTGTCTGACTCTGTCTACATTTCCTGCAGCCTTTGTCCTCTTATCCAAATTGAACCTGCCCTGAGAGATTTCCTTGGGCTTCATCTCTTTCCCACCTTCCTTTCCCACCCCGTAGACTGGCCCCATCCTATTCTCCCATTTCCCCTTGCCAGCTTTTCTTTGCTCCTCTCACTTCCATACCATGAATACCTAACGAGTGTAATCCAAAGTGAATATGAAGAGCGATAGTGTTCAGGAGGCAGAGGCCAAGTCTTGGAGCAGTCTTGAAGTGGAAAAGAACTTCCAAAAAAAAGAATGTGTGTAACCCTTACAATTGCATAATACTCACATGTTTTCTTTGAACTTTCTTCCTCATGATGATTTTACCAGTAAGAATAGAACTAGAAGGGAAGAATCTTAGTAGTCTCAGTGTAGCAAGGACTAGAGACAGAATTTTATGCCATCACTATATTTTATACATCCATCTATTATAGTGTTTAGCCCACTGCAGCACAATTTGTTTACAAGTGAGTATCTTACTAGACTTCAGTTCCTTGAAAGTAGAAATTATGACTTACTTATCTTTGTGATCCCAGCACTTAGTGCAATACCACTCATTTAATAGTTTTCCATAAATATTTAACCAGATGAGTGAAGAGGAAGAAAAGAAACAAGACTCTAAACACCTGTAAGACTTTAAACCTGTGGTCATTTTCTAAAACTTTGAACCCAGAGGTGGAACACAGAAGGTAATAATTACAAAGAAATTGCAAGTGTTACAAAAGTAATAGTTTAAGTGGATGGATTTGGATCTCTCTGGGTAGAGATACAGTGGGTGTCCCCAATCTGAGCTAGAGCTGCCCTTCTCTTCCCTCTAATCACCTGAAAAGAAATCATCATCTTTGGTCTGTTTCATCTGCACAGTGACACTTACATCTCAAAAACCTGAGGCTGCACTTGAAATGTATTCACCAAGGACATACACTTAGCTCCTTTCACATACCAGACCCTGGAGATGCATAGGGCAATAAGATAACGTCTCTTCCCTTTAAGTGCTCATACTCTAGTGAAATAGACAGACCAAAAAAAAAAAAAAATCCAACCAAACAAAAAAATCCCAACAGATAATCATGTATTACATAATGTGTTAGCAAAAGATTAATATAAGATCCACTTCTTCCCCAACTGGTCTAGCCAGTTGGGAAGGAGTTGGGAATCTCTGTGGCTCTGTGTAATCTTTTTTCAGTATATTTTCCTTACTGCTCTGGGGTTTTGACTCAGCTTCCCTGTGGCATCTGACCTAACTGTATTCCAAAGTGGGAAGGAGAGAGGAGCAAAAGAATCCACAGAACTGACCTAAAGAATCTGGTCCCATGTTGCCCTCAGATATGAATGAAAGCAGGCCCCCTGTGTACCAGCATGTACCTGTGGCTACAGGCTGTCCAAACAGCCATGAGTCCTACCTGTCATTGGCCCTGGAAGTTGCTCTGATGGGGATGGGTCAGCAGAGAGTGATGCCTGAAGGCCTCTACACACAGGACAAGGTGTGCCGTAACGAGGAACAGCTCCTGAGTCGACTTCAGGAGCTGCAGCTGGACGATGAGCTAGTGCGAACACTGCAGAAACAGTGCATCTTACTCCTGGAGGGTAAGTAGAGAAGGGTTTTGTCATAGTACCTTAGGTTTGTAACTCTGAGTTCCCCTCTGTAACAGAGCACTATACAGAATCATTTTTTACATTAAAGTATAGTTCAAGTTCCCAGGGCTAGCAAACATGTGCAGGATCCTACAGCTCAAGTCCAGATTGGCAAACAGAAGCATGTAGATAAATAACTGGTTGTCCTATCTTCTTCCTGCAGGAGGCCCCTTCAGTGGTCTAGGAGAAGTCATTCACCGAGAGAGTGTTCCCATGCATACCTTTGCCAAGTATTTGTTCTCAGCTCTGCTGCCTCATGATCCAGACCTGTCCTATAAATTAGCCTTACGTGCCATGAGGTGGGTAGCCCTTTCACAGCCCAGTTGCTTCCATCAAAGCAGAAATCTCCACTGCTCTTTTTCTTTATCTCACTTTCTTCTCTTTCCCTCTTTGTCTCTTCTATTAGACCTGAAAATACTGGACCAAGCACACCCTAAAATTGCTCAGTCATATTCCTATTATCTAGGATTCCTGTCTGGAATGACTTGCTGGTGACCCACTTGGCTCCCTGGTTGTACTCCTGGTGGGTCACCTGAGAAAACCCCTAAGTTTTTAGAAGATATGGAGCACCCAAGACCTGAGTATCTTTGTCTCTGGGGCCCATTAGGCAGCATGAGAATGGGTTTGAGCCCTTCTGTAGCTCAAATGAGTCATGGTTCCTAGGCAGAGGCCACCAGATGCATCTAGAAGAAATAAAAATAAGTCTTTCTATACCAGAACTTGAGAACAATAAGCTATGGGGATCTCGTTTTCAAACTAGAATAGGATCCTTAGGCAGGTGGACCTCTAGGATGCAGCAGATCGTACAGAAGAATTTTAGTTAGATCAGAAGGCTGAGAGAGCTCTTCACTTCAACCAGAAAAAGACTGCAGAGGATTCCTTAGCATATGTTTCTTATACTTTAAAAAATAATTTTAGGGCTTTCGAACTGCCTTTCAAATCTATTTGCAGTAAGAAGTATTCAGCTTGAGTTCTACAAGTACCCAGACATTCACCTCACATACAGTGTAGTATTCTAGGTTTTAAAACCTTTAAGGCTCAGGGTGCCTAGGTTCCTCAGTCAGTTAGGTGTCCAGCTCTTGATCTCAGCTCAGATCTTGATCTCAGGGTCATGAGTCCAAGCCCTGCATTAGGCTCCATCCTGAGCATGGAGCCTACATTAAAAAACAAACAGAGAAACAATCTTTAAAGCTCTTAATTAACCCTTTCCTGCACAGTTCTTCCCCAGCAAAGAACAAACTTCTCTAAGGTGGCTCAGGATGTAAAGGGTCTGGATGGCGGCTGATGACTCTCCCTGGGTCTTCTAGGTTACCTGTTCTAGAAAACTCAACTTCTACAGGCGACACTTCTCACCCTCACCATATGGTGTCTGTGGTGCCCAGCCGTTATCCTCGCTGGTTCACGCTTGGACACTTGGAATCACAGCAATGTGAACTGGCCTCCACCATGTTGACCGCTGCCAAAGGTGAGCATAGATAGAACTTAGGCTCTAGCACCCCCACTATGCTGGCCCAGTCATGGTCTATCAAGGGCTTGGTCTGTGGTCTCCTAAAGAAGAAAGGCTATTCTTGACTACTTAGAGTGACAGGGATCCCCACTTTGATTGCTGTCATTAGAATGAGCACCCAGGTCCAAGACAGAGTTTTGCCTTTGTTACTAATTGTGGGATGCTGAGTATGTAGAGTGAAATCATCTTTCAGATAACTTCTAAATCTAACCTTCCATATGATGTAGTCACTTCGTCTTTGCAAGCCTCAGGTTCAAAATCTATAAAATGGGATTCATTGTCAGTGAACCTATCGGCCTCCCCAGGGCCATTGGAAGATCCAGTGAAGTCATGACTAAGATAGAGTTATAAATCTCTATAGATATGAGAGTCTGTGATATTTCCAGGGCTCCTTGTCAGAAGATAGGCAGCTAAGGTGGACTCTCACATTTTCAAACTCACATACTACCTCCCTGTTAGCTAGGTAGGTTTCACCACAAAAAAAAATGAAAACAAGCCCCTGAGAAGCTATAATGAAATACTAACTTGTGTGGGTTGCAAATATTTTTCTGATACTAGGAAACTATGGATATTTTAAGATACTTTTTATTAAAAAATAATTTATTAAATTTATTAAAAAATATAAAAAATAATTTTATTAAAAAATAATTTGTGTCTTATTGCCCAAAAAATATATGTTCATTATGGGAAAGGTAAAAGATACAGATAAATCAATATGAAAATGACCAATACACCAACACAAAACTTGAACAAAGGATATGATCAGACAGTATAAGGATATGATCAGACAGTTCACAGAAAAGAAGATACAAATAACTTTTGAACAATTAAATACCTGGAATTCCTTGAGAAATGCAAATTAAAATTACCCTGAGATAACATTATTCACCAACCTTATAGGCAAAAATCAATAAACTTATTAATAGGCATCCATGTGGGGGTGATGGTGGCAGTGGCGTGGCATGGAGTATCAGATTCCAAACACTGAAGGAAAATGAAAGAAAAGCATATCATAGTTTTTGGAATATATTGAAAGCTTTACTTAGAAGGAAATCTTTAGCATTAAATGCTGTATCTGAAAAGAAGAAATGTTTCAAATCAGTGATCTCTGTTTCCACCTTAACTGGATTGTTTCCACCTTAACAGTAGATAAAAATCAATGAAACCAAACACTGTTTGAAAAGAAGAGTAAAATTGAAATCTCTATTCAGACTGATCAAGAAAAAAAGAGAGAAGACAAAAAAATCACCAATCCCAAGAATGAGAAAGGTGACATCACAACAAATTCTAAATACATAAAAATGATAATAAAGGAATATTGTGAACAATTTTATGTCAATAAATTAAACAGAAATGAAGTGGACTAATTTATTGAAATATACAAACTACCAAAGCTCATTCAAGAATAAAGATGAGCTAGGTATATACCCAAAAGAAACAAAAACTTGGACTCAGATACTTGTACATCAGTGTTCATGGCAGCATTATTCACAGTAGCAAAAAGTTGGAAATGCATCTATAAACAGATGTACAGATAAACAAAATGTGATCTATGCATTCAATGGAATATTAATTTGGCAATAAAAAAGAATGGAATTCTGATACATACTACAACATGGATGAGCCTTGAAAACATGCTAAGTGAAATAAAACAGACACAAAAGGAGAAATATTAAATGATTCTGCTTATATGAGGTACCTAGAACTGCCACAGCAAGGAAACATCAGTGGTTGCTAAACTAGAGGGCATTTTATTAGGAAGGGGTTATCTATGTAGTCCCAAAGTATCTCTACAAAGCACTTAATCAATCACAAAGGAGAAAAAGTACAAGTCTACTATAGAGTAACCTGGTAGACATCACTCAAGTAAAGTGGCCACAGTTAATATCATAAATTCAAAGGGGCAGAAAGTAAAACAGAGGAGAAATTCATAGAGACAGAAAGTAGAATACAGAGCCTGGGGAAGTTAGGTATTATTTAATGAGTACAGAGTTTGTATTTGGGGTGATCAAAGTTCTAGAAATGCATAGTGGCCGTAGTTGTACAACGTTGTGAATGGATTTAATGTCATTGAATTGTACCCTTAAATGGTTAGAATGGTAAATTTTATGTTATATATATTTTATCACAATAAAAATAATAAATAGAACTGAACATCAAAAAGAAATGAATTTGTAGTTAGAAACCTTTCCACAAAAAAAATCCAGGCCTAGATGGCTTCACTGGTAACTTCTACCAACTATTTAAGGAAGACGTAACAATTCCATATAAACTTTTCCAGAAAATTGAAGAGGAGGAAATATTTCCCAGCTCTATCTATGAAGCCAACATTACTCTGATACCAAAACCAGTCAAAAATCCTAAGAAGACTACAGACTAATAATATCCTTATGGGCATAGGTATAAAAATTCTTTTTTTTTTAAGATTTTATTTATTTATTTGGTAGACAGAGATTACAAGTAGTCAGAGAGGCAGGCAGGGAGAGAGAGGAGGAAGCAGGCTCCCCACTGAGCAGAGAGCCAGATGTGGGGCTCGAGCCCAGGACCCTGAGACCATGACCTAAGCCGAAGGCAGAGGCTTTAACCCACTGAGCCACCCAGGCACCCCAGGTATAAAAATTCTTTTTTGTTTTTTAAGATTTTATTTATCTATTTGACAGATCACAAGTAGGCAGAGAGTCAGGCAGAGGGAGAGAGGGAAGCAGGCTCCCCACTGAGCAGAGAGCCCGATGCGGGACTCGATTCCAGGACCCTGGGATCATGACCTGAGCCGAAGGCAGAGGCTTAACCCACTGAGCCTCCCAGGCGTCCCCATGTATAAAAATTCTTAATAAAAATGTTAACAGATTGATCCAATAATATAGTTTAAAAAGATAAAACATCACAACAAAGTAGGATTTATCTCAAGAATGTAAGGTTAGTTTAACATTCAAAAATCAATCATTATGATTCACCATACTAATAGAGTAAAAAAGAAAACCCATGGGTTATTTTATCATGTTAATAATACAGAAAAAGCATTTAAAAAAATCTAACATTAATCCCTAATAAGAACATTAAAAACTCTTAAACTAGGAAAAGAAATAAACTTCCTCAACATGATAAAGGATATCTAAGATACAACTACTCTTATACTTAATGGTAAATGATTGAATCCTTTCTTCCTAACATCAGGAACAAGGCAAAGATGTTGTTCATTCAATGTCAAACTGGTGGTTCTATCCAGTACAATAAAACAATAAAAGATGATAATAAAAGATACCCAGATTAGAAAGGAAGAAGTAGGGGTGCCTGGCTGGCTCAGTTGGTGGAGCATGCTATTCTTGATCTCAGGGCTGTGGGTTCAAGCCCCACATTGGGTGTAGACATTACTTTAAAATAAAATATTTTTTAAAAAGAAAAGGAAGAAGTAAAACTGTCTTTATTCTCAGATGACATGCTCATCTATGTAGAAAAATCCTATGAAATCTATAAGAAGCTATTAGAATTAATAATGAATTCAGCAAGGTTACAGGATACAGGATCAATATATAGAAATCAATATGCCAGCAATGAACAATCAGAAATTGAAATTTTAAAAATTACTATTAAAATAGTATAAAGAAAATATGAAATACTTGAAAATAAACTTGACAAAAGATGTCCAAAACCTATACAATGAAAATCATAAAATATTGCTGAGAGAAATTAAAGAAGACCTAAGTAAATGGAAAGACATACTACACTTAATGGATTAGAAGACTCAATATTATTAAATGTTGATTTTTTACAAATTGATGTATAGATTCAATGCAATTCCAGTCAAAATCCCAACAGCCTTTGGGATAGATACTGGCGGGCGCCTGGGTGGCTCAGTGGGTTAAGCCGCTGCCTTCGGCTCAGGTCATGATCTCAGGGTCCTGGGATCGAGTCCCGCATCGGGCTCTCTGCTCAGCAGGGAGCCTGCTTCCCTCTCTCTCTCTCTGCCTGCCTCTCTGTCTACTTGTGATTTCTCTCTGTCAAATAAATAAATAAAAAAAAAATCTTAAAAAAAAAAAATAAAAATAAAAAAAAGGATAGTCCCAAAGTAGACTCATATATATGTGGTTGGGTTTTTTCAATAAAGGGCAAAGCCAATTATGTTGAGAAAAATGATGGTCTTTTCAACAGATATTACAACATATACAAAAATTAACTTATGATGGATCAAGGATCTAAATGTAAAAACTAAAACTATAAAACTTTTAGAAGAAAACATTAGGAAAATCATTTTCATTTTTTGGTAAGCAAAGATTTTGGAGATAAAACATTAAAAGTACAATCCATAAAAGAAAAAATTGATAAATTGGACTTAACCAAAATTAAGAACTTTTGCTTTATGAAGTCTCTATTGAGAAAGAAAAGACAAGCCACAGATGGGAGAAGTATTTGCAAATCATGTATCTCATAAAGGACTTGCCTCCAGAATATTGTAAAGAATTCTCAAAACTCAGTAATAAGAAAATGAATAACCCAGTTTTTAAATGAGCAAAGATATGAAGAGATACTCTACCAAAGAAGATATTCTGATGGAAAATAAACACATGAAAAAATGTTCAATATTGTTAGTTCTTAGGGAAATGCAATAGAATCATGATAAGAAAATGGCTAAATAAAAACAAAAAACAAAAACCTATAGCAAGGAACTAGCAAGGATGTGGAGCAAGTGGAGCTTTCATATACTAACATGCAGGAAGTTAAGTGGCTGAAATTTCATAATTTCCTAAAAGTTAAATGGACCCTTACACATACAGTCCAGCCATTGCATTCCTAGATATTACCCAAAGAAAGGAAAGTATGTATCTGTACAAATTATTTAGTATGAATGTTCATGGCAGCTTTCTTTTTAATAACCAATAACTGGAAGCAATCCAAATATACAACCATAGGTGAACAGATAAACTGTGATATAACCATATGGTGGAATACTGCTCAGTAAC